ATATATCCTAAAGTAACCTACATACAATGTCAACCATATGGTCCTAAAGTAACCTAAATAAGTCAGAGTTAAAATAATGTTAATATATTCTGAGATATTACTCTACCTTATAAAGTTTAAAACTAAAAGAGAATAATCAACAAGAAAATGAAGAATCTTATCAATCAGATAACATTAGTTTTACTGTGGTGACAACACTTTAAGTTTGGGCCTATTTTTTGGTCTGTTTTTTAATACTTGGAGCAATGGAACATTTTACACATCAGATTAAATAAAAAACACTTGATAATTTGAACCAATGGAGGCACCCATTTATCTTTAAAATTTGGATTCTGTGATCCCAGCCCTGAGTTAACGACAATGATTATTCGATTAAATTATCAAATTTGTGTTAAATCTTAATTTTCTTCTAATCAGAAGTTTTATACATGACTTTTATTCATTAGCATTTCTCAGGAACTCATTGCTTTTATCACAGCCTTGGTCCTCCAAGCTGGTCACTTATCCTGTCTTTTATCATGCTAGTTACATGTTCCCTTATCTTTTAGCTTTCACACCTTTCCATTGTGTTTCTGATCCCTTACATCTTGCTTTCAGTTTTCACAACTTTCCCAGACATCATGGGGCTCTCAATTAGTCAAGCTCTGTACATACTCGTGCCACGCACGTTTATCATCAATCCAAGAGTTTAACGTTCACATTCCATTGTTCAAACTCAGTATGCTACCTAAAGTTTTATTTATCTTATTAATGTTTCCGAATTCACCTTAGAATAACTCTTAATTCCTCTACTGGGATGAGAAGAAACAGAAGTTTCTGAGCACTCCTGTTGTTTAACAAACCCTTTGTTATATGTTAAAACCATAATAACTATCAAATCGATACAATACGAACCAGTGGATGATGTTACAACTGCATTTTACAAAAGCACTGCTGTTGTTTTTTTGCATTTTATTAAAATTTCCTGTTTATACAACACAGAATTCTCCATTAACATAACCTCTGAAAAAGTTAAACCACCCACCTAACAGACAGTGTTGTAACACTTTCAGATTACTAGTCTTAAAGTATGCATTTTACCATGTAATCTTAAATACTGATTTTATGATATATATATATATATAGAAAAAACAAAAATTCAAATACACACCTTTTGTTGGTTTGGCTTGATCCTAGCTTTTAAATGGTCAATGTTGTCATAGGTCATGGTTGCTGGTCTGACAGGGTATTGAAACAAGTAAAGATTTTCTGATAAGGCTTTGGAAAGGTAGACATCAACCTACATAATAGTGTTGAGAATTACCTATAGTAGTTTGTATACTCACTAACAGTGATACTCAGGCCTTAACTACCTTAGTCTGTGAAGTAAGTAATGTAAATTTCACAAATTACCATACAGTAAATTATTAAGAGTACATCTATAAAAATAGTTACAAACTTCATTGAATGTTAATTATTATGCTCTAAACAATCCTGAGTTTATGTTTGAAGACTGATGTAAACAATAATGGACCTATAACTTTTTTTGCTTTTACAGTTTACAACACCGAAATGAAACTACATATATCTCACTGAGTCTACGACAACTCTAGTATAACATTTTGACCATGTGGTCTTGCTTTTAACACTTGGACATGTATCTAAACCTTGTGGTCTAGGAAATTACATAAAACAAACCACTGAATAATTTCACTGACTGGTATAAATGAAACATGCCTTCCACAGTGTCAAGAATTGGCTGTGTAATATAGTAGGTAATCTTTCAATCAAGAATTAACTGTATAATGTAGTAAATCAAACAACTCCAGGCTTACTGTGCTAGGCAATGATTAAATGGCACATGGTGACGGCCACTTTTGTTTTCCATTTTCTATGATTCATATTTGGCTAGAGATACTTGTAATTAAACATTAGTTTTACTGTAGTGACAACACTTTAAATCTGGGCCTATTTTTTGGTCTGTTTTTTAACGATACTTAATGATCTGCTATTAGTCCAGATCTAGTTACTTCTGACAAATTCAGTCAAATGATCAAATTATTCAGTAATCAACACTTTTGGACTGAATAAAGAGTATTGAATATTATCTATAACTTTTTTTATCAAAGTGATCTTACCAAAGAAGCACCGGTTACATTTATAGCTTGTAATAAATAATATATTGAGTTAAAGCTACACTAAAGTTTAGTCCAATCAAGATAAACACAACAGGCATCACTCTAGCTATTTATGTAACCAAGAGCCACTAGGCTACACCTTCACATACATCAGTTGTGAACAAGCAGAATGCATGCATACTGTCACATGTAATCACACCAATGGAAATACTAATAGCTTTCCTATCCTAGTTCAGTTGGTACTCATCTAATGCTGAACATGTTTTTTGAGTTACAGCAAAGCCACTAAGGCTATCTGCCACTCACTAATTTTGAACTGCTGACCAAAAGGAGATTGAGCATCTAGCAGCAACAATAACCACCCCTTAGGTTACTCTTTTACCAATACCTATTTGTTAAGGTGGATTGAGGGTTGCAGACTCTATATCCAATGCCACCAAACACTTTTGCTCTTTCACAGCCATAAGGGCATTACAATGTCATGGTCAATCCTATTCATTGGTAGGGTAGCTCAAGAGTTGGTGGTGGATGCTGGTGGTCATTTACTTTCCCTCTGGTGAGCATTTCAAAATTAGGGATGTTGGTAGATAGCCGTAGTAGGTTTGTCATAACTCAATAACAATTCTCACATGAGAACAATAAATTAATTAACTAAATTAACGATTAATCGATTGCCAAGTTCCACTAATCACCTAGCTCTAATCATAATGGCAATATTTCAAATACTTTGATAATTGAAATAAGTAATATTCATAAACTTTAATTTTGATTCATTCACTATTTTCATGATATTAATCAATTTAATCATAATTTTACTTAACTGATAATTTTAGGTAACACTAGTAGATGTAATTGATGCTCATAATTGATTACATCAATTCACTGATTAGCTTTAATTAAAGGTAAGCAAAATGTTAAAATGAAGAACGGTCCCTTAAAAGACACTGATAACAAGGTTTTGAATTCTATGAGATGCCTGGGCTTTTAAACTTATTTTTTTTTACATGAGAAGATACCAGTAATATTCCTGATCATGAGTACTCCACATGAAATGCTGCAACTGATCTAAATTACGTAGACATCATTTTCAATGGTGGTAAGTAGAAAGACTGCAGATTAAAAATAGATAATGCACCAGACAAGGAGTTTACTAGGTTTTGAATGAGATCAAAGACCATATTTGTGAGCCTCTTTCTTTCATGTTTTGGTAGGTCAACAGTGGGCAGGAGCCTAAGGATTGGAGAATTGCTAATAGTACTCCCAGATAAGGATTAAGGCAGGGGCTATTGGGGCTGTAGCCGCAGGCATGGGTTTAAAAAAGGCAGTTATAAAAAAAAGATCCATCTTAATTTTTTGTATGAGAATGATTAATAAAAGTCATTCAACTGAGTCTACTTACTTTTCAAGAGAGAGAGAGAGTTTGTGTGTAATGTGGTTAGGCCTATCGTGCAATGTAGAGTGAAGAGATATATTTGGCTTGCCTCTGCACAATGTGACTATGTAGTCCCAGTCTAACCTAGCACATTTGTATGCAATTTACAATGCAAATGTGCTAGGTCTAAGTGAGGCTAAACCTAGTCACGCTAATCAAATGATAGGCCTTGGTCAATCAAAAACTGTTCACATTTTTATGACACTATCAAGCAGGGTCCTCCCTTGGGTCTTGTGCCTGCCATGTTGTTTCTTACTGTGTGATCAAGCGGTAAGCCTAGAATATAACTAGACCTAAGTTGACAGGCTAGATTGAAGATACCTATATCTTTTGATTCTTCATTCTCAAAGGCTTCAGATTCTGCTCAAGAAACAAGTTCAATTATCACTAACAAGGTAAGTAACAGTATTTTAAGCTTTTAGGATATATTGTATCAACTATTTGTGCTTCTTGAATAGAACTTGCACATTGTTATCCTGTAAAAAATCCATAATTACTTGTGGCTAATGTAGGTCCACCTATCAGCTGTAAATAATTCATTGACAACTTTACAAGCATCAGTAACTGGAGGGTATAAAATAGAAGTCATCCAAGTACAAAATTTTAAATTTTTGAGTTCAGTACAGAAAATATGTAATAATCTGTTACGAAACTATTAGGTAGCTTGCTGACATCTCTCTCTCTCACACTCACACACACACACGAGTACATACATTATTCATCTTATTTATTATACAGCTAGTAGCTAAAATTAGGAAGCTAACAGGCTTATGGGCTTTGTCCTGTAGTGCCAGCCAAGACAAAGGAAACACTAAATCTCTGAATGCTGATGACTGTTAACTTCATCATATCAAATCAAGCCCTTCCCCTCAATCAGAAAGTGCTGAAAACATAATACTCAGCCAATAGCTCCAGTATTTCTAAGTAACTGACATTATGATTCCCCTAATTGCTAGCCCTCTTTGTTATAGAAACTTTATGACTGATAGAATATGCTTTAGAACTTGGTATTGTTTCTATGACTCCATGTGCTTTGTTAAATTTTTGTCAATTTGTCGTCTTTTTGTTTTCATGAATAACCTATTTGGTGATGCAGCAAGCTTGTTTCGTGCCAACTAAAGTCCCTTGCAGCATGTTTCTCATAAGAGTAACCAGTTGTTGCTAGTGAAAAAGTTTCCATTGATGTTGAAAACAATATGCATATAACACAGAAGACATTCCCCTTAACCCTTTCTGCATTCAATTCCTTGTGATAAAAAGCCTTTGAGCATTGGCATTTATATTCGTCACCCAGAATCGATCTTGTAGATGCACTGAAATCTGTATCCATTTACTGGCAAGAAATATCTCCATAGTACAAACAAAACTTCTCATTTTGTTGGATATAAAGAATGGGTTAGTGTCTTCCTTGCCATTGCAATAATTGATTTGTTCCTGTTGTTAGGGGCTCGCTTCAACTTGATGAGGCTTACGGTCAGCAGCATCAAGAATTGTAGTCTCTACATAATTGTTTTCATAGTCTTGGTTTGTGGTAATCCAGTTCTTGCTGAATACATTCTAAAATGTTTCCTGCTGTACTGAAGCTTGTTTATTCTTTGCCTTTGTGCAGAAACTTTGTGTTTTTCTCAGTTTCAATCCACCTTTGGAAGCGTATACATGATGTGCTAAAAAACTAGGGTTCCCAATGATAAAGAGGTTATTAGACACAAGATGTAGCACCCATTAAGATGTGCAATGTGAGCCTTAATGCAAGTCCTCTCATTACAGATGATGACTCTGAAAAGCCTCAAGTATGCTGAAGAGTCAAGAAGTCTTATGCTACAATTGGAACAACTAGAAACAGGTATAATGATGGAACTAGAGAGTGTTATTCTGGAGAGGTTTCACAAGACAAGTTGTTCATTACAAAACTCCTAAATGGATGTCAGTACAGCTTTTCATCTGCTAAAATCTCTCAAGACATTCATGCAGCAATTACAAGATTCCTTTCCTGAATATGAGGAAATGGGTAAACAACTGTCAGGATGTGAGACATATAAGGTCGAAAGATCAAGGAAAAGGAAGAAAAATATGCTGAGGACAGTGATTTTTTTACCTTCTATTCAATATAAAGTTCAGACTTTCTTAACAATAATTGACAAACTGTCTGTTCCACTAGACAACAGAATAACAGTATATGAAAAAGTCAGTTGCAAATTTGGGTTTCTATGAAACTTAGATTACATACCTACAGAGGATCTCTGCAAAACAGATTAGTATATATTCTACAGACTTAGAGAGTTGCACAGAGAAAGAAACTGTTAAATTTGTTGCCTGCTGCAAGGCAGGGTTCATAGAAAATGGGTTCAGAATCCAAGGATAATGATATGTGACCAATCTTTTTAAAATCAACTTTTCTGAACACCCTGATAAATTTAAGGATGTATCTGTGCCTCATGTCAAGCAATTACTCAGGAGAAAAATCATTCTTGATGCTAAAAAGGATAAAGAACACAATTTGATCAACAATCTGCCAAAACAGGCTAAATGCACTGGCACTTTTTAGAATCGTTTAACACCAAACAGACCAAAGAGAGACAATAGTTTAACGAAGTACAGATGACACCAAACAGATCATAGAGAGCTAGAGAGACAGTAGTTTAATCATGTACAGATGACACCAAACAGATCATAGAGAACCGTTTAACCATGTACAGATGACACCAAACAGATCATAAAGAACAGTTTAAC